TGGGCGACAGAGTGAGACTCCAACTCAAAAAAAAAAAAAAGAAAATATCACTCTGACTGCTTTGTGGATAAAGGATTCAGAATGAACAGAATGGAAACAGAGAGACTATGTAAAAGGCTACTAAAGTAACCTAGGAGAATGTTCACGATAGCTTAGACTAGGGTGGTGGCAGTAGAACTCATGCAAAGGATGTAGGCTTAAGAGAGATTTAGTGGCAAAGTGAATAGGTAGTGATGATGGATTAGCGTCAGGGAGAGGACATATCTAGGATGACGTGTGGATTCCAGAACATTGTAAGATAGCTAGGTTCTTAGAGGAAGGAAGAAAATACCATAGGTGTGTCCTTGGGATTCAGTAGTTACTCTCTTAGTAAGCATCCCCCGATCTGGCATCAGTGAAAGTGGCCAGGCATCTTAGTGTAGCCTTAAAGGTTCAGTGGGTGAGGGCTTCAGTTAACATGTTTTAGAATGGGAAAGAGTTTTCAATGTCTTTTTTTTTTTTTTTTTTTTTGCGTTGGATCCTCACTTTGTTGCCCAGGCTGGAGTGCAGTGACACACTTATGCCCACTGCAGCCTCAAACTGTTGGGTTCAGGTGATCCTTCCATCTCCGCCTTCCAAGTAGCTGGAACTACAGGCGCGTGCTACTACGCCCGGCTTATTTTTTTGAATTTGTTGTAGAGTCGAGGTTTCACCAAGTTGCCCAGGTTGGTCTCGAACCCCTGAGCTCAGGCAATCCTCTCTCCTTGGCCTCCCAAAGTGCTGGGATTACAGACTTGAGCCACTGTGCCTGACCTTCAGTGTTTAGAAGGCAGCTGAAATTGAGGGTGAGATGATCAAAATGAGTCCTTTTGTGGACTGGGTTTTAAGACACACTACTTGTAATGGTCAGCTAGAGGACTAGACAGAGCAGCAGAAAGGAGATAACCAGAATTGTGGGTTGGGTGGAATGTAAGGGAAGAGTACTTCAGGGAAGAGGGAGGAGTCATTTCTGTTTATGCGCCCATGAGGTGGGACAAGACACAAACCAAGAATTGTTTACTAGGTTAGGCACTCATGGGTCGTAAGACTGTAGTGAAAGTGTTTTTGGTGGAGCAGTGGACAGTGAAGCCAGACTGGCATGGGATGAGGAGTGGGAGAAGGGAGATGGAAGTAGGGAAGATAGGCAATCCTTTCAAGATGTTTGGCTCTAACAATAAGAGACAGAAATTAGGCAATTACTGGGATTTCACAAGTGAAGTATGGGCTAAAGGAAGTAATTTTTAAGCTGAGAGAGATGTGAACTATGTAAATGGCAGTAGGAAGATTCCATTTGAGAGGAACTGATTAGAAATACAGGAGAGAGAAAGCTAGTTGATATATAAGGTTTTAAGAGCAGCCGGGGGGTAGCATCTCAAGTATAGTGGCAGGTCCTTGGATAGGAGGAGTACCGCCTCTAGTGTGGCAGAAGGAGGGAAGGAAAGGGTGCATGAGCATGAAGATGAGTTTTTCAGGTTTGGGGAGTGGGAAGCAAAGGCTGTTCCAACTTTGGACTTCAGTTTTCTCTGTGAAATTGTAGGCAAGGTTAAATGGAGGTGACAATGGGTGGAGAAGTTGGGATTTGGAAGTTCGAGGAGAAGGTTTAAGTAGTAGAAAATTAGCTGGAGAGAAATGCAGTAGGATTACTGGTTCTGTGCAGTGTTGAGGACCTGAGGGCCTGTATGTAATTGGCATGCCTACCTATTTTTTTTTTCCAGTTGGGGTCTCACTCTGTCACCCAGACTGGAGTGCAGTGGCATGATCATGTCTCACTGTAGCCTCAACCTCCTGGGCTCAGGTGATCCTTCTGCCTCAGCCTTTGAAGTAGTTGGGACTACAAGCATATGCCACTATGTCTGGCTAATTTTTTGATTATTTTTGTAGTAATGAGGCCTTGCTGTGTTGTCCAGGCTGGTCTCGAACTCCTGGGCTCAAGAAATCCTGTCATTTCGGACATCCAAAGTGTGGGATTACAGGCGTGAGCCACCATACATGGCCAGGCCTAACTATTTTTACTTTATTAATATGTATTCTCATTGACACATAGCCTCCTCTGGTCTAGCAGGAAATATGTTCCTGAATGCTTTTTTCCTTAGATACATGTTAATTTTCCAGGGAAGTCTTTCTAAATCCAAATTGTTTTTTTCTCCATAAGTTCCAGGGGAGGTTTGAGCCAGCTAAAAGCAAGTTTGAAGATATAGGGCAGTTTTATTGTGACTGAGGCTTATTTTTCAATCCGAAAAGTACTCTTCTCCATTCCTTGCAGGAAAATACAGTATGGGATAATAAAACTCCTGAGATCTTCCAGTTAGTCTGATCCTTAAGGTGTGGCTTTGTTATTCTTTTTTCTCTAAACAGTTTCCTAGGACCCTAGATACCCTTTAATGCTAAAATGTAAACATATCCTTGCTGTAGATAATCCTGTTGCTCTTAGCTACTCCATATCTCTCAAGTCCTCTTTTCCTACAGATAGTGGATTTAATGGTAATATTAACATTAACTGTGGTGTTTTGCAAAAGCCCCCTGTTGCTATGCCTCCCACCCCTCCTTGGTGACAGTCAAGGTGAGGCTGAGAGCATGGGCTGTTGTTGCTCTTTAGTCCCAGGACCCGCCCCCCACGATGGAGTTGGCTGTGGCTGTCCTGAGGGACCTGCTCCGGTATGCAGCCCAGCTTCCTACGCTGTTCCGGGATATCTCTATAAACCACCTCCCTGGCCTTCTCACTTCCTTGCTGGGCCTCAGACCAGAGGTGAGATGCCTCCCCAACCCCTGCCCCTTGGCCTCTTGCATTGCTTACCCTCACGAACATTGTTTGGATCAAAGAAAGTGATGGAAAGTGATTGGGATATAGGATGGAAGAAGTGAAAAGAGAGGAGCCTAGAAAAAATGAAAGAAGGGCCCTTCCCATCTGGTGGGGGGAGATGGGAGGATAAGGGGGATTGGATTCTCAGCCTCTTGTTTTTTCCTTACTTTCTGTTTTTTTTCTACAGTGTGAGCACTCAGCTTTGGAGGGAATGAAGGCGTGTATGATCTATTTTCCTCGGGCTTGTGGTTCTCTTAAAGTAAGTACACATGAACATTCCTCTCTCCACCTACATAAGCCTTGGTAACTCTCTTACCCCAGATTCCTGTCCACAGGATGTGAGTGTTTGTTACATGGGTATACTGTGTAGTGGTGGGGATTGGGTCCATTCTCCAGATAGTGAACATTGTACCCAATAGGTAATTTCTGAATCCTAACCTCCCTCCCCACCTCCTTCTTCTGTGGTGTCCCCAGCGTCCATTACTTCCATCTTTGTAACCATTTAGCTCCCGCTTATGAGTGAGAACATGCAGTGTTTGGTTTTCTGTTCCTGAGCCGCTTGACTTAGGATTATGATCTCAAGCTCCATCCATGTTGTTGCAAAGAACCTAATTTCATTCTTCTTTATGGCTGTGTAGTATTCCATGGTATGGCATATATACCACATTTTTTTTTTATCCAGTCAATTGATGGTGGTTGGTTAGGTTGGTTTATGATTTTGCTATTATGAATAGCAATGAACATATGAATAAAGGTATCCTTTTTATATATTGATTTTTTTGGGGAGTGGGGATAGTCCCTAGTAGTGGGGTTACAGAGTCAAATAGTAAATCAATTTTTAGTTCTTTGAGAAATATCCATACTGTTTTCATAGTTGAGCTGTTACAATCCCTCCAACAGTAATTGAATGTTCCTTTTTCTCCACAACCACACCTACATCTGTAGTTCTTAGACTTTATAGTAATAGGCATTCTGACTGGTGTTAGATGATACCTCATTGTTGTTTTAGTTTGCATTTCTCTGATTAGTGATGTTGAGCATGTTTTCATATGTTTGTTGGCTTCTTGTGCGTCTTCTTTTGAGTAGGGTCTGTTCATGTCCTTTGCCCACTTTTTTTTTGTTTTTTTGAGTTGGAGTCTTACTGCCACCCAGGCTGGAGTGCAGTGGCATGCTCACAGCTACCACAGCCTCAACCTGCTGGGCTCAGGCCATCCTTCTAGTTCAGCCTTCCAAGTAACTGTAACTACAGGCACGCGCTACCACGCCCAGCTAGTTTTTTGATTTATTGTAGAGATGAGGTCTTGCCAAGTTGCCCAGGCTGTTCTCCAACCCTCTTGCCTCCACCTCCCAAAGTGCTGGGATTATAGGCGTGAGCCACCGAGGCTCTTTGTCCCGCCCCCCCCCCCCTTTTTTTGAGTTGAAGTCTCACTCTATCATCCAGGCTGGAGTGCAGTGGCATACTCATGGCTGCCACAGCCTCGACCTGCTGGGCTCAGATGATCCTTCTGCCTCGGCCTTCCAAGTAGCTGGAACTACAGGGATGTGCCACCACACCCAGCTAATTTTTTGATTTATTGTAGAGATGAGGTCTTGCCAAGTTGCCCAGGCTGGTCTCGAACCTGTAGGCTCAGCCAATCCTCTTACCTCGGGCTCCCAAAGTGCTGGGATTGTAGGTGTGAGCTACCGCACCTGGCTCATTTTGACATTTTTAAATTTATTGAGACTTGCTTTCTGGCCAAACATATAATCTATTTTGGAGAATGTTCCATGCAGGGATGAGATGAATATATTCTGCAGTTGTTGGGTGGAAAGTGCTGTAGATGTCTGTTAGGTCCATTTGGTCTATAGACCATTTAAGTTCAGTATTTCTTTTTTTTTTTTTGAGTTGGAGTATCACTCTGTCGCCCAGACTGGAGTGCAGTGGCTGCTCCCGGCTACCGCAGCCTCGACCTGCTGGGCTCCGGCGATCCTTCCACCTCAGCCTTCTGAGTAGCCGGAATTACAGGCGTGTGCTACCATGCCCGGCTAATTTTTTTATTTATTGTAGAGATGAGGTCTCGCTGCCCAGGCGGGTCTCGAACCCGCAGGCTCAGGCAATCCACTCACCTCAGCCTCCCAAAGGCACGGGATTACAGGCTGAGCCACCGAGCCCGGCAAGTCCAGTATTTCTTTGTTAATTTTCTGCTTCGATAATCTGTCTAGTGATGTCAGTGGGGCGATGCAGTCACCCACTATTATGGTATTGGTATCAAGATGTTTTCTAAGGTCAAGTAATGTTTGCTTCAGGAATTTGGGTGCTCCAGTGTTCAGTGCGTATGTTTAGGATGGTTAAATCTTCTTGTTAAATTGTACCCTTTATCATTATATAAGGCCCTTGTTTGTCCTTTTAAAAAAAGTTTATTTAGTAGTTTAAAGACTGAGCTATCTGGTATGAGGATGGATATTCCTGCTCCTGCCCATTTTTATTGTCTATTCACCCGATATATCTTTTCCCACCCATTTACTCTGAGTTTGTGACTCTCTGGCCAGCAAGTGGGTGTCTTGTAGGCAGCATAGGTTGGGTCTTATTTTTTTTAATCCAGTTTGTCACTCTGATTCTTTTATGTGGGGTAATTAGACCATTTCTGTTTAGGGTTAATATTGATATGTGCGGTTTTGTTTCTGCCAAAGTGTTTGAATGTGTACTTGCTTTACAGGCACTTTGTGAGCTTTGTACTTAACGTGATCTTTTGTCATGGTGAGAGTTGTCATTTCATTGCCAAGTTTAGAACTCCTGTGAGCATCTCTTGTAGAGCCAATTTAGTGGTGACATCTTTTTAGTGTTTGTTTGTTAGGAAAGGATTTTATTTCTCCTTTGTTTATGAAGCTTAGTTTTGCTGGATGTAAGATCCTTGGCTGATATTTTTTTTCTTTAAGGAGGTTGAAAATAGGCCCCTATTCTCTTTTGGCTTGTAGAGTTTTTACTGAAAAGTCTACTGTTAGTCTAATGTGATTTCCTTTATAAGTGATTCAGCACTTCTTTCTTGTTGCTCTTAGGATATTTTCTTTCATATAGACTGTGACAGCGACATTTAGAGAACGTGACAACGATATGCCTTGGTGAGGTTCTTCTTGCAATGTATCTTGGAGGACTTCTTTGGGTTTCTTGTATCTGGATATCTAGGTTCCTCCCAAGACAAGGAAATTTTTCATGAATTATTTCCTTGAATATATTTTCCATACCATTTACTTTAACTTCTTTCCCCTCTGGAATGCCTATGATTGTAGATTTGGGTGCTTCACATAGTCTATATGTCTTGTAGGCTTTGGTCATTCTACTTTTTTTTTTTTGAGTTGGAGTCTTACTCTGTCTCCCAGACTGGAGTGCAGTGGCCGCTCCCGACCACCGCAGCCTCTACCTGCTGGGCTCCGGCTGTCCTTCTGCCTCAGCCTTCCGAGTAGCTGGAATTACAGGCGCATGCTACCACGCCCGGCTGATTTTTTGATTTATTATAGAGATGAGGTCTTGCTGCCCAAGCGGGTCTCGAACCCGTGGGCTCAGGCAATCCATTCACTTCAGTCTCCCAAAGGCGTGGGATTACAGGCTGAGCCACCGAGCCTGGCTGGTCATTCTTCTTGATTCGTTTGTCTTTTTTGTCTGACTGGGTTAGTTTGAAGAACTTTCTGCATTTCTGAGATTCTTTCTTCTGCTTGTTCTAGCTTACTGCTGTAGCTTTGTACTGTGTTTTGTATCTCCACCATGAGTTTTTAATTCTGTCTGGGTTTTTTAAAAAATTGTTGTCAATATCTCCTTTCATCTCCTGAATTGTTCTGCTAATATCTTTATGTTGGTTTTCAGCTTTATCTTGCATCTTGTTGAACTTCTTATAACCAGTGTACTGAATTAGTTATCTGGCATTGCAGAGATTTCATTGTGGTTAGGCTCTCTTGTTGAAGAATTGATCAGCCCCTTTGGAGGTTTGTTTTTTCACACTTTGAGTTTTCTCTTGTTCTTTTCTCATCTGGATGAACTATGGTTGCTAATCTGTATGAATTCCTTTGACATAGATAGCCTGTGCATATAGATTTTCCCAGATGTTGGTTGTAATAGTGATGTTGTGGGAGTTGTGGATTGGCTCACTGCTTCCCGTGAAGCTAGAATGTCGGGGGTCTCAGGAGGCTTAACTTGCTCTTTGGTGGTGTGTGCTGGTGTGTCAGCAAATTACCTGTTGTGATGCATCATTCAGCCTCTAGGCCAGCAGGTGGCGCCTATGGGTAAGAACTGGTTACTGTTGCTGTGAATTGGTATTTACTTGATCCTTGTTTACTGGAGGAAGAAGCATTGTGTTGTCTCAATAGTGAGCTTGTCTGTGGAGTGCACTGTGGTCTGTGCTCCCAGTGCAGCCCTGGGGAGGGCAGAACCAAAATGGGTGGAGCCAAACTGAGCAGGCCTACCTACCAGTCCACCAGTGTCAGGCACAGGGGATCAGGAAGTCCCGGGGCTCAGGCTGCTGATTCAAGTGCAGAGGGATGAGGTCACTCCTGCTGGTCTCCTTCCACTTAGACTGCTTTCCCAGTTGTGTAGGAGTCGGATGGCCTTCTTCTTCCTCAATATTGCCCGGGCACGCTACCCTATCTAGTCCAGGAGTGAGGGTGGGGTTCTTAGCAGTGATACTTGCTGAAGAGTTCTAGGTTGGAAAACTGAGTTCTAGGTTGGAAAAAGAGTTCTAGGTTGGCTGCAGGACTGCTATTCAGGAGAAATTGTAGCTATAGCAACTCTTCTTCTACTGAGGATGCAAGTTTCAGAGTGTGGGAGTGGGGGCCTTCTACTAGGCTCCTGTGTTTAGATTGTTATTCTGGGTGTTCCTTGGTATTGCTGGGGCCCCCTGATATAGCTGCCTAGAGGGGTGGGACAGGATAGGGCACCCAGACAGACTGTATCTCTCTGGGAGGGAAACATGGCTTTGGGAACTCCCTTGCTGCTCCCAACCACAGGCTGGGATGATTCCTGGTCCAGTTCCAAACCCTGGGGTGATTACCATGCTCCCTGCCCTGCTTTGGCTATAGGAGGTTCCTCATCTGCTTCAAAGTGAGCAGCCTTGTCTCTAGGCAGAAACTGAAGTGCCTGTAATGCAAGCTGTAGCTGAGACAGTGGACCCCGGTCAAAATGGTGACCACCATTTCCTCACCAACCTGGATTTGGGAGAACACCTGTGACTTTACTGGGTGTCTTTCCCTCTCAACTCTTGGTCTCTCTGAGACAGCTCCAGGGCCCAGGAT